ACTTTTAGAAAATGAGAGCTGGGTGAACAATGCCAGTTCTACCAATTACTACTAACTGTGTGACATTAAGAAAGTCATTTAAGCTTTCTGACCTTCATTTCCTTCATTTGAAAATTGGAGATAATATTTATATATAACAAGATGCATGTAGATTAAATGCAATCATGTATCCAAAGAACGCATCCCAGTTCCTGGGATCAACTGGTTCTTCCCCAAGTTATTTTCATTGTGGCTTAAGAATTTAAGTGAAGGACTGAAGACTCCACGCCCCCAGGAGAAATATGCTATGAACTGGTAGAACGTATGTCCTGCCTGGAAATATTTTTAAGTGTAGTACTGGAAAGCTGGATGTGACAGTGATCTTTTCTGCCTCCCTTTGTTCATCCTTCACTAGGAATGTACACTAAGCATTGAATGGCTTCCTGCAATTTATCCTCAACAGAACAGCTAGAAAGACCCTTTCACACCAGCAGTGGAGCATGGTATTCCTCTCTGGCTCCCCATCTCACTCAGACTAGAGCCTTCAGCATGGCCTCCAAGCTCTCTAAAGTTATTTCCTACTATTGCTGAGTCTATCTTGCAAACAGACTATCTTCCTGTTCTTTGGACATCTCAGGAACAGGTGTCAAGACCCTCAGGAACTTTGCATTTGCTGGTGCCTCCAGTAGGGTACCATTCCCCACCCCAGCTATCTACACAGCTCCTTTCCTTCCATCTTTCTTAACCCTGCCAAAACTCACGATCACCCCTACATACCCATCATACCCTACTCCTCTTCCTTGCTCTACATCTCTTGATGACACATCTGATATGCCATGTTGTGTTTATCAATATTTTGTTTCTTGTCTGTTTCCATCCAATAGAACATAAATATCACAAGAGCAGAATTTTTTTTGTCTCTTTCATTTTCTGCCATAATTCAGTGCCTAGGACAATGCCTGGCACGTAGGAACAGATGCTCGGTAAATGATTATTGAGTAAACACATGTAGAAACTGCCTAAGTTGTGTTGCTACAGACTAAGTGCATTCCTCTAACCCAGTTCTGGATGGCTTGTTGAAGCATGAAACACACAGTTACAGGCTGGTCTCTGTAGTTTTTATTAGTGTTTTCTGGGACCCATCAAACAAACAAACAAAAAAAACTGTATTTTGAAAAAAAATAATTCTTTCATAAAACAGAAATACTCAGTTTGAATTTAACACAGTTTCAAGGGCAAGGTTTCTGATTGTTAAAAAATAGTGGCAGTGGGGTTGCTTCCCCAAAAAATGTCAACCCAGAAGCCAGATGGGAACAAAAGCAAGAATTAGGCAGACAGTTACAGAAAGGTTAATCCCAATTAAGCTAAACTCGTGAAGGCTTACACATTTCAGTGGTTTGCGACACCAAGTCTCAACACGTTTTTATTCAATGTTCTCTCTCTTATTCCAGAAATGGAATCCCGAGAAGCAATGCTGAGGCTAATTCAGCTCACGTACTTTCTTTCACACAGGAAGTAGCCATTCCGTGGGCTCCTGTGGAGCATCTCTTACACCCTATGTGGTTAGATAGACTCCTCCCAAAGATGGTTCCATGCTGTGCACACAGGTAGCCACTCAACTTTTTTTTTTAACGATAGAAGAATAATATAATTGTCTTTCCCTCTTACTATTTTAACTTCTCCTATATTTTATACATTTGAAAAGCAACACACTTGAAAAACTAAAATCTAACATGCATGACTAACTTTATCAAAAGATCCCTCAATATTTTTCAAAAAGAAAAAAAAATACAAACCAACCCCCAAATACTAAAACTTAGAACTGCTTTACACTTAAATAGAAATTTACATCGTATAAACATTCATAATCTTCATCGTTTAAGACAGGTTCAAGGTTCACGACTGGCTTCTCATATACCAGGTAATTCTCACAGTTCCCAGTGAGGTGACAGAATTCTCACACAACCTAGGTTGATTTGCAGAACCAAATAACCTGTTTTGGTTTTATTTCAGCTCAGGTAGGAAAGCAAAGTAAAGAAATCTCACAGTAAAATGTTCATCTGACAGATAGTAAGTCCTTGAAGTTTTGGCTGTTGTGCTCTTTGTCCAGTAAAGAAACAATTTACATCACGATTATGGATATGGGCTCCCAATCTGAGGAGTCTTCCAGAAGACATTTATTCATGAACTCATCATATAGTTACTAAGGACCTATCTCATGTAGGTATTGAAAAAACAGTATTGCTAAGATATCATCCCTGCCCTCACAGAGCTTACAGTCTAGCATGAGAAGAGTTTGAAGAAGAACAGGCACATTTCAAAGAAAAACTCACTGCCCTGGTCTGTGCTGCTCAGAAAGCAACTTCCAGAAGTTGTAGGCACGTCACTGGGAATCAGGGCTTTGCTTGTTTCATCAAGTCAATTAACTAGAGGCCCCAAGATGAGCTGAATCTAGAAAAGTCTTAGCAATACATTTCCTTCCTCGGGTTCCTATGAAAAAATAAAATAAGAGCCCAAGCCTTTAGTGTAAGAGGGGTTTCAGGAGGCCATGTGTAGTGACCATAGGAGTGTCGGCTCAGATGAGAGCTTCTTAAGTGAGAAGCTGTGAGTTGCCAAAAGAAGGGGGCTTCACCTACTGCTGGCTTGTTGCTGAGATTTTGCTCTCCCTTGCAACACTGGGGTGGGAAAGATTCTGTTCACACCCCAAGCTGGCATGGCTCAATTACCTTGAGTTCTCCAAGTCACGAATAGTACATAGAAAATGCATCAAACTCAAGCCAAGACAATAGAGAGATATGCTGAGAACTTAATACGCCAACCTATTTAAGTAGGAACCAGGTGCCAAGAAACCGTCACTTTCAACAAATAACACAATCTGCTAATTATCTTCAGTGTTCCAGTCAGTACGCCCCAGACTCACTACCTAGCAGGGGTTGCTCTTCAACAGAGAGGGTGAAGAAAGACCCAAGACCAATTTGGAGGAACATGAGAAACTTACAGTTTTGAGGAAGGGCGAGCTCAGAGAATGATCCAGGCAGCTTAGATGATGAACAGGCCAAGCCAGAGAACAGCAGAGAGCAAATTAGCAGATGTCTCTTAATAACTACACACAGACATGCAAACATTCACATGTTTACATTAATTCAAATATCTGGAAGTTAAATCTCTTCTGTGGGAAGTATGGTCAACTGCTGGGAAAGCCTCAGTTCTATAGCCTTGCTTGGAGAGCAGGGTTTGTCTTTCTTGTGGGAATGCCTCAGATTTGGGCTGCTCATCATCCTTATAATGATAGCCATTATGGCCAGTGACCTTGGAGCACAGCTTAGTGAGATGAATGACCTTCTGAAGGTACAACTGAGTTGTTTTTCTTTCTGCCTGGCTTGGTAACCTCCAGAGGTACTACTCAGCATTGTCAAATTACAGATACTGAGGAAAGTCTCTAACTCCTTCCTGACCACAGCTCCTGAACTGAGTTTTCTGTTTTTCTCTTTCATCCTTCCTTTCTTTAGCCTTTTTTTGTTTGCTTGTTTGTTTTAACATTCCTCTAGATCCAAATCTAGACAAGACATCATTCACTTTGGAATGAGTTAAAATGAGACAGGAAGGTTATCCAAAAGAGGAAAGATTATAAGAAGCAATATCTGCAAATATATTTCCCTGGAAATAACCTCTCTCTGTCTCCCTCTCTCTTCTGTGTTTCCTTCTACAATATAATTTTTTCTCTGTTTTGTCATGCTACTGAAAATGTGTTGCATTGTTAGCTCTTGTTTAAGTTATCTAATTCTAGCTCTCATCTGGGGTTCTGAAAAGAAGTCCCTCTAGAGATTTCAACGCATTGTCCCAACATTTTAAAAATGAAAAACAGGTTGACTTTAAAGCCTTCACTCCAGGGATATTGTTGCTGTTGTTCTGAGAGTAAATCACCATCTTCATCTTGACTGGCTAAACCAGTGGTTCTCAGTCAAAGGCAATCCCCACACCTACCCAAACTGGGGGACATTTGGCAATGTCTAGAGACATTTCTGGTTGTCACAACTTTGATGACCACAGTGCTATTGGCATATAGCAGGTAGAGGTCATAGATATGCTAAACATCTCAAAACACACACGACAGCCAAAATAACACACAACAAAGAAGAATTCAGCCAGAAATGTCAATTGTACCAATTCTGAAACCACAGATAATGGGAATACAAGAGAAAACTCGTCATCTCCTTTTCCCACTGATTTTTTAAGCAATTAATATAAAAATAACCAAGGCCAGGCCTTCTCTTAAATAACCAAAAGTGAGCAGAGGTGGCAATTGAAGTTTTTCACCAATGAGTTGAGAAGGAGGAGGGAAGATAGACTTCACACCAGGTAAATCATTCCTGAATGAGTATAAAGCCCCTTGCACCATTATTCTTCTCTGATTTAAACAGGCAAGTTATGTGATTATGCAGTGATTACAGTCCAGCCTGGACCACAGAAGTCCTCAGTCTCCACTCACTCACTCCTGAAGGTCAGGGTAAACATCCCAGCATCCTTCTGGTTCATCCCATCAATCTGAGACCCTGAAGTTCATCCGGGGGACCACATCCACCTCACTTGAGGAGGCCACGTGAATGCTTACGTGTGGAGGACACGTCACCTTTTCCTAAATCATTTTGCATATAAAAACATTTAATGCCCTCTGATTATTTTTCTTTCTCTTAGCAAGAAGCACAAGATACTGTCCTTCTTGCAGCAGAAAAGAACTTCACAATAGAGTCAAAAACAAATCACAACCAGACACAGTGTCATATTTCACAGAAAACTGTGTACGTTTGTTCCCCATATAGGACATACTTCAAAAGTAACAAAATAATTTTATCAACTGTCATGTTCCTTCTTCCTGTTAGAAGTAGATGTATTTTTTTTACCCCCTCGTGGTACATAAATATCAGAAAAAAGTAGTCTTTGAAATATTTACGTCCGGGAACTTCATGGTTGGTTATCATTTGGGGGGGTGTTTAGCTTTGTGTTCAAAGGTGTCAGCAGCTTCAGTTTTCATTTTCCCTCCATCCACGTGCATTCTTGCCAAATTTATATACCAGTCTTCGGCCATCCACACGTTCCAGAATTTCTCTTTTGTAGTAATATCTGTAACAAAAGACATTGCGTAAGGGGGCTGCTCTAATTAAGACGGCTGGGGGAATAAATGGTCATGTGGCCTTCTCATGTTTGGAGACGTGAAACTCCTAACCTCATGGCTCGGCTGAGTTTTTCGTAGGTCATGCTGCTGTTGTTTTTCTTTTTCCCCCATAGCTGGGCCACAGCCTCTGATTTCAAGAACCTGAAGATGCCCTCAGACCGGTCTTCCCACTTGATTAACCCTGGATTCTTGTCTGGGTTCAGCAGGATGTCGCGGATGAATTCCCATAAGTGAGTCCCTCGCGGATCTGAGGCCAAGTGGAAAATAAAGAGTTTATTGGCAGCTTAAGTCATAGCAAAGAACAGCTCGAAGAAGCCTAGAGCTGAAACATCTTCCATCAAGTAAGAGATACTCAGTACCTTGCTACCCACCTATGACACCACATCGCAGCATCCCCAGTATTGAGTATTTAAGAATGAACTAACACAGTTTTTTAATTTTACAAATCAGAAAGCTGAAGCATGGAGAAGTTAACTGACTTGACCAAGGTCACACAGCAAATCAGTGGCAAAGTCAAGACAAAAGAATAGGTCTTACCTAGAAAACAGATTTGTGGTTGTCAAGGGAAAGGGGTTGGGGGATGGATGGAGTGGGAGGATGGGGTTAGCAGATGTAAGCTGTTATAGATAAAATGAACAAACAACAAGGTCCTACTGTATGGCACAGGGAACTATACTTGATATCCTATAAATAAACCATAGTGGAAAAGATATTTTAAAAAAGGATGCAGAGGGAGGGGATATATATATATATGTGTGTGTGTGTGTGTGTGTTTATGACTGACTCCCATTGATGCACAGCAGAGACCACCACAATATTATAAAGCTATATCCTCCAGTAAAAAATAAATAAAATAATAAAAAAGAATGTGTATATAGATATATACATATATGTATAACTGAATCACCTTGCAGTACTGCAGAAATTAACACAACATTGTAAATCAACTTCAATAAAAAAATCAAATTTAAAAAATCAGTCTAGATCACCTAGGCTAGTGGGAGTATCTTCAAAATATGGTTGACAGATTGCTGGGGATTCGTTTCAGCCTGTTACTTCCCAGAAGAACAATGCTCAACCACTCTTATTTATTAATAGAACCTCAACCACTTAGACAGCTGCAACTCAACAATTGTGTGTCAGCCAAATGCACAGGGTTCTAGAACTCTTAGGCCTAGGATATATTGCCGTGGGTCTCACAGGGGTTGAGGGAGTCAATCTGAAAATAAAACAGCGACTGTAATGACACTAGCAACCAAATTCAATTCTATCCCCATTGGATTTGTGACACACAGCTCCCTCCCCAAGCCCCAATTAGAGAGGCTGTGTTCCTTCAGTCCTTCAGGATGCCCTGGAGTAGAAGATAGCGAAGATGTCCAGCCCCTACAATTTCCAAATTTTCCCACCTTGATCTCTTTCCCCCACCAACTCCACATCTCTGATATTTCATACACTTTCATAAGATTTTATTATTGGGGGAAATACAGCTCCGCAAAAGCACTGCTGACGCTTAAGAATAAACAATATCTCTTAGCACAGTAACTCAACAAAAGTAAGAAGCCAACATTCAGCGAAAGAAAAAAAGAATACACCTCAGCTGTTTCTTCCCACCTTTCTCCTCATCCCACCCCCCCCCTTTTTTTCCCCTGGAGAAAGGGAGATAGCCCACCCCAGGCCTGTAAGAAGTTCCCACTCACAGAGGTCTCAGTGTTAGAACAAATAGAACAGAGTGAGGAGGAAATAGCCACTGAAACTCTACTTTGAGAAACCACTGCAGAGGGGGTTGCTTGGCCAGCAAGCGATGCCTCTCTTTTCACACCCCACCCAATTTGAGGTGAAGAAATGCAGGCAGCAGGAAGAGACAGTGTTTGCCTTAAAACTGGTGGCCTCCAGTAACCCTCCACTTGTACAAAATGAAGGGCCAGGAGGTAACTGAAAGCCAGCCAACTTACTGTGCTTTTTTGTGTGGGGCTTTGTGGGGTGGTCTTGCTCCTTTTTCATATCAGGTGACTCTGCTAAAGAGAAAAAAAGGAGAGCTGCTTCATTTCCCTGTTTCCTACAATTATCATCTTCATTCATCCATTCATTTCACCAGTATTTATTGAGCACCTACTACATGCCTGGCACTGTTCAGGTAGTTGGTTGTGAACAAAACAGAGCAGAGATGATAAATGATCCAGAGAAAAAAATCTCAGGGTGAGAAAAAAAGGGTAGACATGTGGGAATGGGAATAATTTGCAATTAAATATAAGGTGGTCACAGAAGAACTGATAAGGGGACCAGAAGGGTGTGAGGAAGATAGTCACACAGAGAACTTGTGGAAGAGCCTGCTATGCCTGAGAATAGTAAGTGCAAAGACCCTGAGGTTGATGTGCACAGAATAGAAGGAAGCCAGTGTGGCTGTGAGCAAGGGGCAGAGGGGAAACAGTGATGTTCAGATCACTAAGGCCTTATAGGATATTTTGAGGATTTTAGTTTTTATTCTGTGAGAGATAAGAAGTCATTGAAGGATTTAGGTCATCGAACAGTTTTTCTTTTTTCTAATGTAATACCAAAATGTAAACATTTAAAACAAAGAAAGATGACTTTTAAGCCAAAGGAGTGCCTTTTTTGGCATGCAAAGTTACATTTTAATCAGCCAGACAAAGGTGCCATTGACTGGCCTGAGCTCAGCACAGAGGGCCACAGTGGACTGTGGAAACACAAATTAGTTTAACAAATGACTCATTATGGTGACCCTTGAAATTATCAACAAGAGAAAATGACAGAGGCAAATTTGTGAAATAAAACTTGTTAAAAATAAAACTAAATGACTTAGCAGTGTGTGTGTGTATTCCTGTGTGTGTGTGTGCCTCTGTGTGTGTGTGTATTTATGTCAGTGGGCATGTCCAGTTTCAGGAGAACTAAAGCAGATCTTACAAAAAAAAAAAAAAATCCCACCATCAAAAATCTGCCAACTTGAATACAGAACTGCTCGTAAGTGGTAGCCAATCCCAATAAGAAATTGGGCCAGTATATCACATCTCTTCTGTGGGCATTACATCAGAGTTCCCTAACTTAGGGTTTGCTGACCCACGTGTGGCTTTCAAGAGCATTTTAATCAGACCAACACTGCTGGCAAAGGAAGAGGATCCAAGCATTCGAGATTGGCAGGAGTGGTCGATTATTCAGTAAGGTTTGAACACCACTAGCTCCTATGAAAATGGTAAAGACTAGCTCTTGTTTCTTTAGCACTTACTATATACCAGGCACTTGGTCAATACTTTACATGAAGCACCTTATGTGATTCACACAATAACCCTATGAGGAAAGTACTAGCAGGATCCAGAGGTTTTACTCATAACCACTATTCTATGCCATTTACAAAGATGGTGCCACATAACAGATTTCATAAATGCTTTCCCTGCCAAGAATCAGGTTCAGTTCTGCAACACTCTAGTCAGTGGGGAGAAATCATTCCAATTTGATGATTCTGTATTTCCCAACATGCATAGACGCATTCACCTATCTGAGCACCCAGACTGTCACAACTCGGAGCTCCCAGCAGCTTGAAAGTCGTGGTGGGGTGGATGAAAGAGTTTTAATAAGATCTGGTTAGAAGAGAAACCTCTTTTTCTGGTGGTTAAATGCATCGCCACCCTCCACTCCGCCCCCCCCCCACCACTCCCTCCCCACTACAACAATGTCAGCAGGAGGGTTTGCACCTGACTCAGATTTCTCTGAAACCTGGAAAAACAAATTCACAGAAAATGCAAGGAGACTCCACTCTCCTTCTTTGTAGGTTTCACAGTGAGGTTGCGACATCCCATCAGGATGTGACAATATTGCAACAGGTTGGCACCCACTCCGGTTTCCAAGTGATGCATCACTCTGACAGGGCCACGTTGTTCTGCAGACAAAGAGTGGCATTTACCCAGCAGGCCACAAGCAAAGCTTATTTTCAAATGGCATCCAGGAGTGGTGCAGGGCCATTATTTCAGAGCCAGGGTTGAAGTCAGAAAAACCCAAGTGTAAGTGTCCCTCAGCTTACTGGCCTCAATCCTTATTTAGGGGTTGCAAACACATGTAATGCAAGAATCAATTACTTTGGGAGATCAAAGTACCTTTATGAATAAACTGGAAACCTTGGACCCTCTCCCCAGAAAAAGGCACATATGTGTGTGTGCACTCATGAAATTCTGTAGCAGTTTCAGGAGTTTGTGGGCCATTTAGCTGTCAATGGATTCCAGATTAAGAACCCCCAGACCGGCTACACCAAGAGGAAATGTTCTCTTTGAGATGTCAACCATTTACCCAAGCTAGACTTCCATCCATCTTAAGGAAGAACCTCAGCCAAAAAAAAAAAACCCTCAATAAAAATGTGACCATCATTGTATGGAAGAATATGCAGCCACAGGCAAAAAAAACCCCCCAAAACTCAAATTTCTTCCAGCCTCTTCGTCCAGTCCCCAGTGCATGGGGGGGTCAATCTGCAGAATCATCCACCTGTCTCAGCACTGAAATCTTTTGATCTGAAACTTCACCTTAATATGATGGCCTCTCCCCCTGGCTTTTCCCCTGGCCCTCAAATAAAAGTCAGAACCTTTGAAGTTAGCCGTGTGGTTAAGTGACTCATCCTTATAAAATAATAGCTTGCTCTGAGGAAGTTGTCCAGCTTGGCTTTCTCCTGCTCTTCTTCCAGGCACCTCAGGCCAAGGTCCAGTCTGGACCGGGGAAGCACCAAGGCACAACTTTATGAAGAGTTCCAGAGCATGACTTCAGCTAAGCTGCTTCGCAAGAAGCAAAGATTAGAAGTATTTGCATATGATTCAGCTGTGAGCCATTTCTTTACGGGATATACAAATTTCAGTGTTATAATAGACCATGCCACCCTCGCTCTAGGCTCAGCGAGTCGGTGAATAAACACATCAAGCCTGCGTTGGCATGATTGGCTTGGGGACTATCGGGCAGATCAGGAACACTGGCGGCAGCCATTTTATGAAATGAGCAGATGACAGAGAAATCAAAACACGGCCCGCTTCCCCACCTGTGTTTATCAGCGAGGGCATCAGTTTATGTGTGGCCTCGCCTCGGTGTGGCTTGTAACTTGCATTAAAACACATAAAGATACTTAACTGCCTTCCATTTCATGGGAGCTGGAAATCTGAAGACTCAGATGAATGACAGGTCTTTGGGGCAGGGCTGGGGGGTTGCAGCAGGGTGGGGAGGGGGTTGGGGGGTCCTGGTCCCATTCAGTAGAGACTAAACTATTCTGAAAGGGATTGATCCTTACAAGGCTGTAATTAACTATCCTACCTGGAGGGCTTGTTACCCCAAAGAATTTACCAACCCAGACACTGAATTGATTAAGTCATCATTCTGATAGACCTCCTGAATGGCTTTTTTCTTTTTTCAGCCTGTGTTACAATTTCAGGATAGGAATCCAGGATAAAGAGATTAAGAATCAATGAAGGGACTTCTCTGGCAATTCAGTGGTTATGACTCGGTGCTTCCACAGCAAGGGGCATGGGTTCAATCCCTGGTCAGGGAACTAAGATCCAAAATGCCCCATAACAGAAAAAAGGAAAGGAAATTTCTTGAACTGAATAAAAATGAAAGTACACAACACATCAACTTTTAAAAAAGAATCAAGAGGTGTGAAGGAGAGTGGATTTATAAAGCTCATTTTTTTTTTCTTTCCCTAGGTTAAGATTTTTTTTTTTCCATTTATTTTTATTAGTTGGAGGCTAATTACTTTACATCATTGCAGTGGTTTTTGTCGTACATTGAAATGAATTAGCCATGGATTTACATGTATTCCCCATCCCGGTCCCCCCTCCCACCTCCCTCTCCACCCGATCCCTCTGGGTTATAAAGCTCATTTTAAGAGGGACTATTCAAAAGTAGAGTAAGTGAACTCAGAAGGTAGTGAGTTCCCTGTTATCTCCAGAGGATCTTCCCCGCCCAGGGATCGAACTCATGTCTCCTCTGCCTCCTGCATTCCAGGTGAATTCTTTATTCCTGAGCCACCAGGGAAGCCCACAAACATGAAAACGGACATTGGTCACTATTGATTCTGAGATTCTAGCAGGTAAGTCAGGATGCAAAAGAGAGCAGGGTCGCCTGGCGCGAGGGCAGCAGAGCTGTGATTCTGCTTTTGGTTTCCCAGGTGCCTTGAGAGCCAACCACCCCTGAGGCTCGGGCAGTGGTTGGTTCCACTGCATCCTTAGTTGCTATCTTCTGCCCTAAGCCAAAGACTCAGGACATGGGAGGCGAGACCTTAGGAAGTGTGGCAGGAAGTTAGAGGGCGACGGGGGTGGTTTCCTCAGCTCTGAAAACCTTAGTCTTGACTGAGTGGCAACAAAATTTTACCCTGACTGGCTCAATTCCCCCAGAATGGCAAATCCACTGCAGAACGTTTCCAGTGTTTGATCTAGTTCCCTAATTTCAACAAATATTTAGAGTGACACATAATGGGAGGGGTCACCGTGGGGAAGGGGGAAGTCAAAAAATGAACTGGCCTTCGCTCTTCACCTCAATCAGAAGCATTTACACTGGCTCCCAGCCCTGTCTCAATCAAGGGGCTTGAACCAAACAAAACCTCAAATCAAAAGCTTTCGTTTTTTCAGTTCTCAACAACACACTCAACAAAAGCCAAAAAAAAAAAAGAGAGAGAGAGAAAGAGAAAGGGTTGTTGTTTGACTCTTGCCTTTCACAAACACTCTTTTTAAATCCCAGTTCTGAAGCTGCCCCCAAATTAAGTTCCAGGAAAAGACAGAGTCACTTGTAACAAGTCTAAGGTCTATTTTACAGAGCCAGACAGAGCCACAAGTTCGCAATGAGATCAAGAGTTGCCAAGAAACCCTCTCTTCAACTTCCCAGTGCATTCATTCCTACCAATAGACCTATTTGTAAGTGGATGGAGAGGAATAACCTGAAAGCCCCTCTCCCAGACTCCCAACAGACCCACCCTCTCACTCACTGTGACTTTGACTGGGTCATGGATAGCCTTCGGATACATCCAATCTTGAACACAACTAATATGAACATAACTCATAATGTGCAGGTGGTCTGACTAATTAGAGAGTCCTGATGAACCTTCAAGTGCAGACTTTAAAACTGACCCATGATTCCCAAGGTTCTAGAAGTTTTTAGCAGCTGCACCTTCAACCCAGAGACCATCTTCCCAAGTTCACTGACCTCTGGATTCCACTGTGAGACATTCTTTTTCTAAAGCCAAAGACAGCTTGTTGAAAATTAAATAGAGCCTTCTCCCCCATAAATATACCCATTTATTAATAATTTTATCAGATAATTTCACAAAAGTAAGTTTTTATTGAAAAGAGAGTTTTTCTTGTCACAAGAGAGTGATTTGATTTCACAGAAGGAAAACACTTTTCCTAGACACGTTTGCTGATCATTTTTAATAGATAAATATGAACTCAAAAGCAGTTCTTTTATAAACCTTTCCCAGACCTTCTTTGGGAAAGACTCCAGCGAAGCTGGAAATGTAGAGCATTGGTAACTCTCATTAACTCTCAGTAAGCACTTGTATAAGGTACACTCAGCCTTGGGTGTCAGGACAACTTACCAATGGGAAGGTGACCAGTGGTTGTCATGGAGATCTGGGCCCGGCAGAAAGTTTTGCTGTCCAGCAAATCTGTGGCAGTGAAAACATAAGGGGCATTAAGATCCCCCTCCTTATGACATAAAATTTTGGCTTTTAGAAAAACAGAATCAGAATGTAAAGGGGGTCTTAAGTGTTGGGGAGTTAGTTACCTACTGTGCTACCATAGTTGGTGTCATATAAATAGTTTTCTTCTTTCCAGGTGTTCATGATGGAAGGGTCTACAAAGGACAGAAAATGAAAATGTCAGCAGTCACCTTCCCCAGGTGGGGAGTTTGCCTTTTCTTACTCACTGTTCATTATCAAAAAGGTGTGGGACAAGAAGGTGGTTTTCAGAGAGAAGAGATCAGATTCTACTTCAGTCACATGTTGATTTACAATAATGTTAGCCCAGTTTTTCTTCCAGCGCCCTGGGGGAGATGGACTTTGCTACAGCCTCATCCAGGTGTTCTACACCTGTTGCATTTTGAGGGACGTGAGAGCAGTTGCAACAGTGGGATCCTATCCTAGGCCAGTGCTTTCCTGGGGATATTTCCAGTCTGCACTTGGGGGTGGGGGAGTTCAGGGGCCTGGCATTGTCATACATTCTACTGTACTGTCACCAGAATACTTTTATACTAGTTTTAAAAAATGGTAAGGACAAACAATTTCATGATGAATGAGCATCTTTTCCTAGTAATATCTTCCTGGGAGAATTAATTATGTTTCTTTCATAAAAAGTCTGCTCAGTCTTATCATAGAATCTTTATTGCTAAAATCCAGAGTGAAACTCTTCTTAAGTTGGGTGACAGCTCCCTCCCTCCAGGACATCTCCAATAGTCTTAAAGGGTGGACATAAAGTTTTCAAAATAAAACTGAAGAGAAGAAGAGGAGATTGTAACTGAATCAAATAAACAGCTTTTAAGAGTAGAGCCTCATTAAAATGGATAAAGAAGATGCAGTACATATATACAATGGAATATTACTCAGCCATTAAAAAGAAAGAAATATTGCCACTTGCAGCAACACAGATGGTCCTAGAGAGTGTCATACTGAGTGAAGTCAGACAGAGAAAGAGAAATATCATATGACATCCCTTATATGTGGAATCTGAAATGAGCTTACAAAACAGAAAGAGACTCACAAACTTAGAAAATGAACTTATGGTTGCCAGGAGTGGATGGGATAGTTAAGAGAGTTTGGGATGGTCATGTACACATTTCTATATTTAAAATAGATAGTTAACAAGGACTTATTGCATAGCACATGGAACTCTGCTCAAAGTTACATTGCAGCCTGAATGGGAGTAGGGTCTGGGAGAGAAGGGACACATGTACATGTATGGCTGAGTCCCTTGGCTATCCACCTGAAATTATCACATTGCTCATCGGCTATATCCCAATACCAAATAAAAAGTTAAAAAAAAGAAAAGAGTAGGGCTTCATTGTCTCATCTTGGAAAAGAAGTTCTTTCTTTCTTCAGAGTGCTGGCTAAGCACATCTCTTGACTCTTTAGATTTCAGACTCAACAGAAACTCCCCTCCACCTACCCCAAAAGCAGCCCAACTCCTACACACCCCCCACATCTGGGCTGATCTCCAACAGAAGATCTCTTTTTTTTCCTGGCTGGCCAAGAGCTGAGCGATCTGGCAGGAGCTGTCACCTTGTCCCCACCAGGAACTTCCTGCTCTCCCCTCCTCACAGATGGAGATGCCCTCAGCTCCCTCCTGCCCAGCATCTGAATTTCAGGGCTGGAGTGGTAAGCCACTGGCCAAGTTTCATTTTGTTTTTATAGCATAAACGGTATAAAACCTGACTCACTGGCTAAGTCCTCTTGTTTATGACATAGGGATTTAGCTGGTATTTGAACTAATAGCTACGTGCTTGGGCACCCCAAGCCCAATCTCTTGGGGTTACACCCTCTCTCCTCGTTGGCTTACCTCGTACACCTGTTGTTGTCTCTGAAAACAAACTGAACCAAACGAGGTTTGGGGGTGTTGGCCCCTGTATGAGCCTCCTCTCCCCTCCTCCCAGGGTGCACCTTCTTCCCCACCCTTCAGCTCAGCTTTCCTGAACTGGCAACACAAGAATGTCTGGATGGTCGAGGAGGAATTGTCAGGTACTTGGGACCTCTCCGGTACCACCTCCTGGCTCTTCCACTGGGGCTATTGTCTGGTCAATAATGGGGGTTAGAGGTGAGGGGCCACCATCCTCTTGGCCAAGTTCTATTCCTGCTTCTAAGGCAGTCAGGCCCATAAAGCACAAACCATCTGGGTAACTCAACCCCTGGTCTCTGGGGGGAGGGAAGGGCAGGGCTGGAAAACCTAATTAACATGCTTAGCAGCTATTGTTTTTTCTTTAATAATGGTAGACCAGCCCCCTTATACAAGAGTAAATAACTGCATGGGGCCAGTTTCTGCCCCTAGTGACTCACAAATCACCCCAGGTCAAATTCTGTCCTTGGTGACTGGCACGAAAGCCTCAGGGAGACCTATGGCAGACTCTGTGGTTGGCCCATGTGACCCACATTCTTGCTGATGTGGTCATGGGGAGAGACCCTGGAGCAGGGGCAGTTCCTGTGGACTTGGGGGACTTGCAGAGTTCTCCCTAGACTCAGAGGTCATAAAAGGGCAATATGACAGGGAACTCTGATTGATACCAAGCTCTGGGGCACAACTTCTGGAGGCAGTTACTGTTCTCTGCAGGTCCCCTGGGGCAGGGTGGGAGTGGGGGGAGGTGGGGAGACAGAAAGTCCCCAGGAGCGAGAGCTCAGGACAGAGGAGGGAGGGAGGATTGGGCAGAAGGAGAACAAGATGGATGTAGTGGCTCTGGGACTGCAGACTCCACTCGGAGCTCAGAACAGCAGCCTTTGTCTGAAAGTGCTCTTAAGGCAGGAGTCAGTTCCCCAGCTGCTTTGGATATCCCTACAGAAACTCCAAAAAAAAGAAAGAAACTCCAAGGTCCCCAATCTCTCCCCAAGTCCAGTCTCTTGGGGTAACACCTTCTCTCCTCGTTGGGTCACCCCGTACACCTGTGGTTATCGCCTCGTAGAGTAACTACGACACCCAGTCCGGAGCTTCCTCCTCTTTATGAAACACACTCCCTCCAAGGGGGAAGAGGGAGAGGAGACGCTGACGCTTCCTCTTCTCTCCTCCTGCTTCTCCTGGCTCGGCCAAGTCCATCCCCCTGACCCTCTGTGGTGAGGAGGATGCCGGCTTAGACTCTGCATTTTTCTGGGCTCCTGCATCAGAGCCTGGATGCTCCGCTGACCAACCGCGGGAAGCAGAGACGTGTGGGAGGAATTAGGCTCACCAGCAGTCTAGAAGTCAGAAACAGTTGGCAGTCATGGTCCCAAGGACAAGGAATGAGATTCGTGGCAGGGTGGGAGGCCCATTGGAGACAGCCAGGGAAGAGGCATCCCTGGATCTCCTGCCAAAACACTGGCTCCATCCTGCTCCCACACTCTCCCTCACACTCGCTCCCAACTTGTGTTCCCCAGGCCTTTGCTTCCCAAGTTGGCTCCCTTCTTCTACCACGACTCACCGGTCTGTTCGGTTTTGACAATGACATTGTGCGTGGACTGGAACAGGTCACTGCTGCATTGGCCTGTGAAGGGCAGATTGGGAAAGTCAGAGCAGGCCCACACGGAGCCAAAATGTGTTGCTTGGCCAAGGACGAAGCTGGCTTCATGGAACAGTTTCTGCCAAGCCCACTGCCTGATCAATATCCTTCACTTCTGAGAGGGGGCTTCCCTCTCTGCATCTGTAATCTCAAGCCTGGGGTCCTTTGCCCAGAAAATCAATAGCTGAGGCACCCACCTCAGATGGAATTATTTGGCCTTTCAAAGAGAAGACATCCAGTATAAGGGAACTAGAACTTTAGATGTTAGAAGACCAGTTTCTCCACTAATAGCTGCAAGTCACTTCAGCTTTCTCGGTCTTGGTTTCCTCAACTGTAAATTTAGGGGATTCAACTAGATAAAGTCATTAGATGGCCTCTAAGGTGCTTTCCCATACTAAGATCTGACACAAAATGCAAACAAAAACACAAAACCATCTTAATTCTTTTTTGATCTTAAATGAAACCCCTTTTGGTTAGATCTAATCTGTGAGACATCTGGGTACGTGCAATGATTCTTCTTTTATGTATGCCTTACAACTTCTCTTCAGATGTATCGTGTATAAAAGCACGTGCATGCATGTTCGAAGTAGCTTCAGATGTGTCCAGCCCTATGGATTGTAGCCCGCCAGGCTCCTCTGTCCATGGGATTCTCCAGGCAAGAATACTGGAGTGGGTTGCCATTTCCTCCTCCAGGGGATCTTCCTGATGCAGGGATAGAACCCTTATCTCTAATGTCTCCTCATTGGCAGGCAGGCTCTTTACCACTAGCGCCACCTGGAAGCACCCCATTAAAGCACATATACACATGCAAATTCATTTTGTATGTTTGACCTCCACAGCCAGATTACAAATATCTCAGGAGCAGAGGTCATGCTTTAACGTCTCTGACCTTCAATTTTCCCAGATGAAAACTTCCCCTATCAAATGGGTGCAATGTTTATTTTCTCGTAAGGTCATCAAATGAATCCATTTACTTGGAGTCCTTGTATAAATAAATACTCAATAAATGTAAGTTAGTAGAATGTCTACAAAAAGGCAAACAGCAAAAACAAGGTGAGAAATCTGGACAGGAGGCAGTCAGAGGCACCGGCAGTATGCCGTGGGACCAGACAAGTCATGGAAGGCCAAAGATGGAAGGCCAGAGCTGGGAAGTCAAGGGTGACCACATCCCCTCCCACGCCTCCCTGTCTTAAGCTTCAATCAGAGCAAAGCTTTAAAGGAGTGGATTTAATTGGAGGTGGGGAGGTAAATATTTTTAATTCTTCAAGTATAAGTCTGCTCTTTCTGAAGACTCCTAGGCGTTATTTTTAGAGCCTTGTTTGGTTTGGTTCTAGTAAAAGAAAAATGAGCAACCACCTCTGAGGAGGGCGGGAAGCAGGGAGTGCCTTGGAGCTGAATGAGGTCATCTCAAACGGCCACCATTGCTGCCAGCTCAGCGGCCAGGCATTGGGTCTCTTCAGGGTTGATGGCAGCTGTTGGGATCTGAATCTGGTCCCCAGCCCTGGAGCTCATGTTTCCCACAGCCCCAGCTCCACGTCCAAACACAGGTTCTGCTTGGATAGATGTCCCTGTTCCAAAGTAGACAGGCCAGCCCACTATTCATACATATCACTGCTTCCCAAAAGGGTTCTCAGAGGAGCTGTTTTTTAAATAAGCATTATCAGAAGAACTTTAGGCCAGTGTCATGGGCATTATGCAAGATAGTTGTCTCCCTTACCAAGCCTTCCAAGCCAGTGAAGTATGCATGCGTGTGTGAACCAACTATCACTGGTGGGTAGCCTTTGAATGCTTCCTGTCTATGCTTTGGGTGAGGCATCAGAAGAGATATCTGGGGCTCTAGGATAGCCCCAACCCCAAAAGTCACTGCAGAAACATCCCAAACCTGTCCAGCCCATTAGTTCTCACCCTGTTTTTTATTTAGGACCTTTTAAGAATCTGTTGTCGGAGAAGGCAATGGCACCCCACTCCAGTACTCTTGCCTGGAAAATCCCATGGAGGAGCCTGGTGGGCTGCAGTCCATGGGGTCGCTAAAAGTCGGACATGACTGAGCAACTTGACTTTCACTTTTCACTTTCCTGCATTGGAGAAGGAAATGGCAACCCACTCCAGTGTCTTTGCCTGGAGAATCCCAGGGGCGGGGGAGCATGGTGGGCTGCTGTCTATGGGGTCGCACAGAGTCGGACACGACTGAAGTGACTTAGCAGCAGCAGCAGCAGCCGCAGCAAGAATCTGTTGTAATAACATAAGGTTCCTCTCCTCCCCCAAAACAAACTAGATCTAATTTCACCTATTTTTTTTACCATACTTATGTCCCATTGTAGGAACCTAAGAATAGAAATATTTTTTTAAATAGCCATGGTGATCTTAACCAGCAAGTGATTGGGAATGAAACAATCAAACCCCGTTTGTAAGAGAAAGAAGTGGTTTTCTGAGAGCACCAAGTATTCTGTGAACACCCAGCTAACCCTTGTCTCCTTGGGAATTAACCATAAGGAGAGAATTACATTACCCTAGATTTGTCTGGGATTTGGCACACCTTGTACCCTAGGCTTCAAGCCTGTCCCCTCTCACCTCCCTTCTACTTCCCTGCCTTGGGAAACAGTCATTTGGAGGCGAGAGCATCCTCAGATGTCCCTACGCAGGAACCCTGCCAGTCGTGGAGTTTCTGCCCTTCCCAGCTGGCTCCCAGCAGGGTAGAGAGGGTGAGAGAGTCACCGTTCCACTTGAGATGCTGCAGGTTGCTGTAAAGAAGCTGCCCCGCCGTCCCCGCTGCCCGGGTGAACTCCTGCAGGCTCATGCTGCAGAGGTGCTCGCCGTTGATGTCAAACTCCTGGAAGGGGATGCAGCTGGCGTCCAGCTGGTTGGTGTCCAGGAGGTGCTGGAGCCACTCCCACACCTGGTACTTGGTCCAGTACTGAGGATGGATTTCATGCCACTGGCCTCCAAAAAACCCACTGGAAACTGCAAAAGAGGAGGCAGCCCTGTGAGTGACCTGTGTCTGTCTCTGAGCATGATCCCAGACGCGGAGGTGCACCGCCAGAAGTCACAGGGATCGCAGCCGAGGTGTGCATGCATCAGCAGAGGTTGGATGGGCTCTGGAGAGGAGGCTCTGGGAAATGCAATTCCTTCCCAAGTTGTGGTGGGAGCCAATCGTTCAGCCTCCCCACATCTTCCTGTTGTTCCTTGTATACTTACCCCTGGGCTCTGGATAAAGACACAAGACTTGAAACGCCCTGAGATCGTGAGCTTCTTCCCCATCTTCCACAAAGTACCATAAAAGCTAATGCATTGCTACAGTACCTATTGGCTTTCTGCCCACACCCACATATTTCACATGTTTTTTTTTTCCCTCTCTCACACACACCTATACATACACACACCCCCCCCAATTCAGACCATTTTCAAGCAGAAGCCTGAGACTCGGTTTCTCTTCTTTATGATGCCTTTGTTTCTCCCCAGAGTGGTCCAGATGATTCATCTGCTCACTATACTGATGTCCCCCTTCCTAGTACTGGTTATTACAACCACTGTGACGTCACTTCCCTACCCAGTTACCTTCAGCAACTTCCCTTTATCCACTGAAGTTAGGTCCAAAACTTCCAAGTCAGGTACTGAGGCTCTTCACTATTCCTCAAGTGACCTTTTGTCTTTTTTCTATATTGTCCTTTAGGCCAGTTTGAGGTTTAGCTATGGCTTCCTGTTGAATTCCTGCCCAACTCACTGACTCCGACCACCCATAAAGCCATCACCCATAAAGCCTGACCAACTACAAGGGCTGCCGTCTCTAAATCTCCAGGAAACACTCCCATTTTTCATGACTTCTGTCCTGTTTTTGCCTTTTTTTATATGTCTTTACAGTCCTATTCTTCTTTGTAAATTGTATGCTCAATTTACCCATCCTTGTATCCATCTTACCCATCCTTGTATCTCATAAAAACTACTCAGGGCTTTTGCCATCATAGGTGCTTTCTCTATTTCATCAGCAAATTTGTTGCTGAAGAAGAAATAACATTGGAACCTGGAAGAGCTGTGAGATTCATTCACAGGATGGCTGATTCAAGTACCAGTGAAGAAGAGGAGTTCCTTCAAGCCAATAAATATTACTGAGCTCACTATGAACTAACCATCTATGCATGTGACTCTCATACTCACTTAAGAGAACATCACTAAATCAACCCAGAGTGCTGGAGGGATGGAGAAGAGAGAGCCAGCTTCTGTTGGCAAGTGACCAGGCTGCGAGCTCTTACAATCCCTTCTAAAGCAGGAACCAAGGAAGGGAGCACTGTCTTGGAAAAGGCTAGGGGTAGGGACAAGGGGAAGACCCTATTATAGCCCACCAAGCTGAAGAAGGGGAAATCTAACTGAGCATAACACACAGATACTCCCACCAACTCAAGGATGGACCAATACAGGAAAATGTGGCACGAGAAAATAGTCCCTAACTTTTTCTTCAAGGTCCTGCTAGATCAGTATTTCTCTAAACTCTAAAGTAATTATGAATCACCAGGGAATGTTGTTCAAATGCAGATTCTGATTCCATAGACTTGGGGTGAGGCCTGAGATTCTGCATTCCTGGTGAGCGTCCCAGGGATGGGGATGATGATGATGATTGTCGGTGGACACAGTTTGCGTGGCAAGGAGATACAGAGCTCCAAAAGGTCTGATCCCCATAATACCCACAGCCTGGCCCTCAACACTCCCCGAGGAGAAGCTGAAGGGGGAATGCTTCCAACCCACTCCTGTTTTTGCTCACCCTCTTGGACTTCATCCACTGCTCCAGACTTAAGGATTGCTAAGAGCAGGAGGTCAAGATCACATGGGCACAAAGGTACTGTCCTGGGTCATACCTGCCATTCACATTAGATGCCTTACTCTTCATTTCTCACAACCACACAAAAGCAGGCCTGAACCCTCAGCTGAGGTCCTAAAGGGGAAGCCAACACTGAAGGGGGAAGGGACAAGGATTGGAAGAATCTAGTCCCCACATTTAAATACATAGAAATATTCCCAAATATACTAACACACTGAGCCTAGACGGGATGTCTCTCATTCCCCCCACTTTTTTTGGTGTCTCACCAATACAGCTGTTGAAGGGTGGGCTATATTTTTTGCAGCTCCCCAGGTCTCTGTTCTTTTATCTTTAAATTAATTATTTTGTTAACTGTGCAACTCTGAGGTTGCAAACAAGAGACAACAACTCTCAATAACCCCACACCGGGCCTCCAGTACTTTCTTCTTTCAGTGTCACATGATTCAGATGAGAGGAGGGTTCCTGACAGTGCAGCCTATTAGAACTTGGCAGAACCAGAGAATTTTGTCTGAAGTTGAACAGGGCAGACTCCCCACTAGCCTCCAGAAGTTCGGGGAGAAGCATTGAAAAGCCTATGAGTTCAGCTCCGCTCTGGCATTCAACTGGTCTCCCCAACCCCATCCATCAAGACTAGGAACTTCTGGAAGTGAGAATGTAACAATGATGAGTGGATTCCACTCCCTGCAGAGCAAAGAGGAATGCTGCCATAATGGAGGGTCTTAGGGCTTGGAATGCAAAAGACTTTCTAGCCTGAAGAGCTTTACCCTGTTTAGAATTATCCTTCAAGGTCCCCATAGGGAAGTTCATGCCCAGAAAAGATAGCAGCTCAGGAGGACAGGTGATCAAATAAGAGAAGGTCTCCCCTTCCTGTTTTCCATGCTGTGTGGCTGGGGATTCCAAACTGAAATGTGGAGCTGCCCAGGAATCGGCGGCTTCTTGGAGAATGCAACCCTTACAATTAGCATCCCACTCCTGCCTCCCAGACACTGTTCACCAAGAGCCACTTTCATGATGTTCAAGGGAAGCAAGAGCAGCAGAGTCTCCGGGGAGGAAATTAGCAGCAGGCAGAGGGTGGGAGAAGGCCCGGACATCCTTATACCTGCTGCGGTCCAGTGCATAGCAGTCTGCCCCAACTGACTGCCTTCACAACGAGGTGCACGGCCCTGATTAGCAACGACTGTATTCAATCTGGCTTCTACAGTAAGCCATGGGCTGGATCCACCAAACCCTCTGTAGGCCCCAGAGTTAAGCCCTCCCTCTTCTAATCCACCAATCCCAGATTAAAGCACCACAGGCAGGCACATGGTCTCCTAACAAATCTACCCACCCTTTACAGAGGGAAGTCACCGGAAGATGAAACAGAGCAATGAAGCTGCTCTAACTCTCTTCTCCTTAACGTCCATGCTTCCATGCCCCCCCCACCCCCACCCCCACCCCCCACACACACACAGAGTTTTCTCTCCTATCCCATCTTCATATCCCAGCCAACACTATTAAAGTGGCCTTACTTTGGGGTATCTCTTCTCTCACCCTTTCTGTCAGCTTGCCAACCTGGAACTTTGAATATTGAGAGGAAACCACGTAATATCTCAAGTGGGCTTCTGGCTGGGGCTCCGGGGACCTCTGGAGGTCTCCTGCATGAAGAGTTTTCTCCAGTCGCCTGGCTTCCACATCCCCTGTATTTCCCACAGGCGTCCTGGCTCCCACACCCCCTGTATGTTTCATGAAGTTGGGGAATGAAGTCTAATCAAAGCAAAGGAAGAAGCTGGAAGAAGCTGCAAGGGGAAGGACATACGCAGCCCCCTTACCATTGCATGTGGGGTAGCTGTCTGTCCAGGCCGGCTGCTGGTGGAGAAGATTGTTGCTGGGGTTGAGATTCATTACACCACTTCCTTCCAGAATCATGATCTGTAAGGGGATCAAACAGGCCGTTCCGTCAGTGCCTCTGGGACAAACGTCATTTCAGAGTATGGATCATAGAGCAAATTTAGGAAGGAAGAAAGAACGTGTCCTCCCATCCACTGCCTGCCAAGCATGTTGCCACAGCCCTTTCAGTAAAAGCAAAACTGACTGGCAATTAAAATTTCCAGGTTCAATTTTCCTATGCATGAGGCAAGTTTTTACAGCCACCCATTCATAAATGAATAATCTCTGTTCGGGAATGAAACAGGAGGAAAATGTAATACCTGCTCACCGGGTGAGTTTGGCTAGCAGCCAACTTTTTTCTTTTTTTCGACAAAAGTGAAAATGTCAGAGAGATTTTGTTGAAAGAGGAATCGCCGTGTGGGAACCCAGACTTGACATCAGACATGTACCAGTTCTGACACACCTGCGCAGCCTGCACATCGGCATCCAGTGAATTTCCTCAGCGAGGATATCTGCCAAGAGATGGGCTGGTCTCAGGGGACCTCAGCCAAATTTGACCTAGAGCTTTTCAAGTACTTCGCTCTGAGATAATGTTATAAATCAACTGGTTTCCCCAAGACACTGACCCTTCCCTTCCTTCTTGGTAAGAAGTTCAGCCTCACATCCCCTTTCCTTTTAGTTGTCGCCATTCAGTTGCTCAGTCAATATCTGACTCTTTGCAACGCCATGGACTACAGCACGCCAGGCCTCCCTGTCCTTCACCATCTCCCAGAGTTTGCTCAAACTCATGTCCATTGAGTCGATGACGCCATTCATCTGGAGGATACTGCAAGCTTCACAGCTGATCTGAACGGGACTTTCTCAGTATGGGGCTCGTTTTCTCAGTAAGGGATCAAGGAGAAGAGCCTTTCTTCCATGGGCCTGCTTTTGGATTTTTTTGAACCGTATGAAAATTTTACGCTTTAGAAATTATTCACCTCAGCCCTCCAGCACTTACAACTTTCTTACCCTCATGCTGGACTCAAAGCCTCAGAAGTGTGTTCAACCATTCAAAGGATGAGCAGCCTGTTTCTAGAAGGTGACTGAGCCTTACCCGGGACCTCTAAGGGTAACCTGCTCTTTCTAAATGTTGGAGTCAGGAGAAGCTACCATTACAATAGAAGATCATGGAAAATTCTCTGCCTGTTTGGGCGAAAACTTGCATTTTCATGTGTCACCAACATCCCCAGGATGGAAATTGCCCAACAAGAGCCATTCCACTCCCTCAAAACCCCTTCTTCTAATTTAACTATTGCTCCTTTGGGTCAATGTAGGGTTTAAGAGGGGAGAAAAGGGGTCTGGAAAAGGCATAAAAATTCTCTCATGTATTCATTCATTCAACAGATATTTATTAGCCTTGCAATGGGCTGGGCACAGTTCTAGGAACAGGGAGTAGAGCAGTGATTAAGAGTTGAATTAGGCTAAACAGGAACATTTATGATGATTATTAACATCATCATCCTGGTTGTTTGGCAAATAATTAGACCTGAATCCAGCCTGAATAGAAGGTAGAAGGCAAGATGGGGTGGGAATGATGAGCGCTGTAACAGACCACAGGGAGGGGAGGTAGCCGAGCTGAGTTATATGTGGTGGTGCCATAAAGATGAGTTTCGACATCAGAAAGAGCTGGGGTTTATCGCAAGTTCCACCACTTAATACCAGCTAAGGTTTGTACTAAGTCAAACAAGTTATTAGCCTCTCTGAACCCCATTTTCCTTTTATGTAAAATGCAGACTATTATACCCACCGTATGTATTGGTTGGGGCTTAAGTGAGTCTCCATACCTTGAGCACTTGGCACCAAATAGGACATGACTGCATAGCAGGTATGTTATGATGAGGAGGGACACTATGCCGCTGGACAATCTGAACCAGAAGTAACCGTGGGCTTCAGTTTCCCCGGGTGGAACGTGAAGGGCTAGTAAATTGCTTTTGAAGTTCGTTTCTAGAAATGTCTTGGATTCTCACTCTCAGAGAAAACCAACCCAAGTCAAACCTCCTTTTCTTTTCCCCATCGAGCTTTCTAGAGCAATAGCCCTAAGCTAAGAAATCAGATAGGGGACTTGAAGGCAAAAGAAAGCTTCCAGGTTCCCAGAGGGGTGGCTGGGAGAGGGAGAGGACAGGGCACCAGCTCCTGTTTGCTCAAGGCTAGGCTTGTTCCTTGCCAGCATTTGCTCAACTACAAGCAGTAGAAAGGTTACTGTTTAACCCTGAAAGGGCTGAAGCTCAGAGCGCAGTCCATGTGCCCTCCAGGCTGGGGGTGGGGGTGGGGTGTGCAGAGGAGGCTTCCCTGAAATTCTTTCACAAGGTTTTGCCTGCAGGGCTGTTTCAAAGTGGCTATTTCAGTGGAAGTCAGGCCCGCTGGGGCCAACTATGACCTACTTCCTCAGCCAGCTGGCTCAGGGTTTCTCTTCACCAATTCCCCAAACTCTAGAAGACAGGGTGGGGTGAGGACCAAACACCCAGCTTTGGAGTTGGGGAGAGGTGGGCTCAGATCCTAGTTCTCCTGCTCCCCATGGGTGACCTTGAACAAGTTCAAGTCTGTCTGACCTGAATCTTTCTGATCCTCACTTTCCCCACTTGTAAAACGGGAACAACCCAAACTCAAAGGGCTGTGGGCATCAAATGAACTTGTGCACACAGCTCAGCGGGTACCAAGAATTCAATAAATGTCGCAGGAACATGGGGGCCAGACTCCCGCTTGTGACCAAATGCCCCAAGAGCCCCTCTCCTCCAGGCGGGAATCATTTCTCGCCATGAGGCATCCAGAACTACTCTCAGCCAGAGAGAAGTCCTGAGGACTACAAGGTCACAGCTGCCCCATTTCCATCTGGGCCCCCAGGAGGCTGAGTGCACTCCCAGCTGGCACCCCCTTTCCAAGGGAAAGCGGCCAGGACAACGAGGGGCCCTTTTTACAGGGCCCAGTAAATGGTTAGCACCCATAAAAGAGTTTATGTGGCTTATTCCTCAGTGAGTCAGAGTTCACTGAGCTCACCCAGACTGCTGAGGAGAGAAGGTCGGTGTTCTCAACCCAGCTTGGGGCGGCAGGGACCATGCCCTCAGGGTGGGCACGGAAGGCCCCTGGGGCCAGCACGGCTGAAGGCCTTTCACCAAGTTATACCCACCTTGGAGGCCCAGCTTTTCAGGTGTAAAATGAGGACATTTGCCCCCCAACAGCCTCACAAGATGGTTGAGAAGATCAAACGAGATAATAGATAATAAATGTGCCTTTTGAGAATGGTTTAAAAAAAGAAAGAAAAAGCATTATTATAACCAACTCACCCACACTCCCATATACAAATGTAGACTTTCCGTAGTACATGGTGATTACCTTCTGCTGTGGTTAGCCGCTCAGTCGTATGTCCAACTTCTTGTGACCCCATGGACTGTGGTCTGCCAGGCTCCTCTGTCCATGGGATCCAGGTAAGGATACTGGATTGGGTTGTCATGCCCTCCTCCAGGGGATCTTCCCAACCCAGGGATCAAACCCAGGTCTCCCACAGTGCAGGTGGATCCTTTACCATCTGAGCCACCAGGGAAACCCAAGAATACTGAAGTGGGTAGCCTATCCCTTCTCCAGGGGAACTTCCTGACCCAGGAATTGAACTGGGTTTTCGTACATTGCAGGCAGATTCTTTACCAGCTGAGCTACCAGGGAAGCCCAGGTGATTACCTGATGAGGTATGAAAAGCAATCCTTTTAATTCAGAAGTATTAATGCGTCTCTTTCATCTTTTTACTTTACCTTCAGCATAACTTTTATTATTTTATTTAAAAAAAAGTATCAATTATGGGAGGTTGAGACTTTGGAGACTTTGAGGTCTGGGTTAGAACCCAGACTCCCCATCTTTGTCTTTGAGCTATGTGACCTTGAGTGTGTTACTCCTTCCGAGCTCAACATCTTCACTGATTCCAAAGAGGGAGTCAGGGGACCATGGATGTCCTCCAAGCTTAAGGGCTATTTAGAAGGATAAGTAATGCTACGAAGTTAAAGATCCCTGGGCTTCCCTGGTGGCTCAGATGGTAAAGAATCTACCTGCAACATGGGAGACCTGGGTTCAATCCCTGGGTTGGGAAGATCCCCTGGAGAAGGGCGTGGCAACTTACTCCAGTATTCTTGCCTGGAGAATCCCATGGACAGAGGAGCCTGGCGGCCTGCAGTCCACGGGGTCACACAGAGTCGGACACGACTGAACTAGTAAGCACAGCACATAGTACAGCACCAGCACACATGCTCTTTTAATATGTTTCTTTTCCTTTTGTTAAACATCAGTTCTCAAGGTATTTCTCTAACACATTTTACTTCTTCCAAGATGGGAAGCAGTAAATTGAGAGTCTAAGCAAAAACAGTTCCACCATTTGAGCTAAAAGCAAGCTGGAGAAGGATCCGCTTCACCTCATTTCCAGCTAGAGAGAGAATTCTAGGGTGAAAAGCAGAGTTTCTCAGCCTGGGAGTGACTGGCATTTTGGTCCAGGATGGTACTTGTTAGGAGGGCTATCTTGTACACTGCAGGATGCCTAGCTGCATCTCTAGCCTCTTCCTACTAGATTCTAGCAGCACTCATGCACCACCCCTGGGAAAAAAGTCCCGGAGCCGGATCACGCCTCGTCATGAGCTCCAGTCAAATCAGAGCCTATGGAGACAGCAGCGCAGATATCTTTCTTGCTGGTGTGGTGACTTTGGACTAGCCCTTCTGAGCTTCTATCTCCTCTCCTGGGAAACTGCCACCTAGGCTTGCTGGAGGACAGAAGGAGATTAGGACTATGGGGCCCCTGGCACAATGCCTCGTCATAGCCATACACGGTAACTGCCTCCTAGGTGGAAGTTTATGCAAACGCACTGACTATTGGACCCCCTTTGTCCATTCTCACATAGTATGTATTCTGGGAACACAGCATAAATTGTTACTTGGAGTATTGAAAACTACATACCAGAAAAAGAAAAAAGTAAGATTTAATTCAGACCAAAAGATTGAAATGCACTGAGATATACAAGGTTTTTCCA